ATCCCTTCACGCGGTGGAATCTCATACACCTTTTTTTAAACTCATTTTTTTTGTTTCTTTGTTGTTGTTGTGTCTCCCGCCCCTTCCTTTCCACGCTTCCGCTTCCCCAGTACATTTTTCGTTAATTGCCGCTGAGCGCTCTGAGGGGCGATCTCCGCTCTCGCCTCCCCGCCCACTTCCCCCGGCCTGCTGCACGCGGCAGCATCGTCCCCGACTCAAGGAAGCGGCCAGGAGGAGGAGGGAGGGAGGGATGAGGCAGCTGCCTGCTTTTTTCCCCCTCCCCCGTTTCCCGCTCCACGGGCTCGGATGCTGTCGGAGGGGGCGGGGAGCCGGGCGGAAGAGAGCAACCCCCCTTCCTCCCCCCCCTCCCTTTCCCGCCCGACCGGTGTGAGTTGCAAACTGAGAGGCAAATAGCGTGCGTGCGTGCGTGTGGGGAGGGGGAGGGGGAAAGCGTAAACTATGTAGAGTTTTTTTTCATGTACGGAAAGCAAATGACTATATTCTACTCGCTGCTGCATCTTGCGGCACGCTCCCCTACCTCGCTCTCACCCACACTTTCTGCATCTTTTTTTTTTTTTGCTCTCTGACTCTCTCACTTCTTGATGTTCTGCGGCTCTGATCGACGACGACGTTGTGGGCGGTGCCTGGCGAAGTCAACGCGGAAACCGCAGACACTAGCAGATACGCACAAACACACCCGCAAGACAAAAGAATAACAATCATAAAACAAAAGTGGCGAAAAAAAACGAGTGGCACGCTCACGCAATCGTTAGCTAGTGAAATTGTATTTTTGCAATTGAGCGCTTAGCAAACAGGGGGGATAGAAAAAAGAAAAGGGCACTTGATAAAGTAGGCAGGAGCCACGAAGCAAGCAACTAGCAACACCGTGTTTATAATCCTTTCTTACACTTATACCAAACAAGATGTCGAACTACGGGTTAAGGGATGGAAATATGAAAACTGACAGTTTCTTTGGCACAGCCGATGAGTTTGATGAGGGAACGGTTGCCGACTGTAACACCTTCTCGGAGTACCGGTACGGACGTCCTGTATACGAGGGGACCTCAACTGCGTGCTTTGACAACGGACTTTTGTACCGTGTCATCGAGGAAAGGCACGGCGGGCGCTGGTCTTTCTACAACGATACCCCAAATTGCATCATGCGTGTAGAAGTGAATTTTAAACCTGGCTCTGAGGTTAAGGCGCTTGGAAATACGTCGCTTAAAAAGGAATCCGACGGATCTTCTGTTTGCACGGTGTCCGTGCACCCACTTGAAACGGAGCTTTTTATAGAGGGCAGCCCGGGTGGATACACAAGCAACATAAAGGCCGAAGGCCTCACGGATGAATACTTGGTAGATCTGGTTGTGGAGGACAAGGAGACAATTGACAAGGAAACCTACGACCTATACCAATTGGTTGGCAAAGATGCCTCATCTGATGAGGCCGTGAAGGCGTGCCTCGCGAACAAGGTGAAGTTTGTGGATTTTGCTTTTCCACCTGAGCAACAGTCAATTCAAATTGGTTCCCTGATGAAGATGAAGATGATCCCACTGGAGCGTCCATGTATGTACTTATCCTATGAAAACGCCAAGCAAGTTCGCCTGTTTCGCAGTGGCGTTCATCCAAACAATATTGATGAGGGTGACTTGGGTGATTCGTGGTTTATTGGTGCTGTGGCCGCCCTTGCGGAGTTTCCAGACAGGGTGCGTGATATATTTCGCCACCCCGTTAGCATTGCGGAAGGAAAGAAGGAACGGGAGCTTGGCATTTATCGTGTCACCTTCAACAAAAATGGCTGGTGGTTGAACGTTATCGTGGACGACTACTTGCCCTGCGCGGGAGGTCGCCCAAAGTTTGCACGTTCCAAGCACGACCCAATGGAGATGTGGGTTTCAATTCTGGAAAAGGCATATGCGAAGATACATGGTGGTTACGGTTTTATCATCGCCGGTGATCCACTGCACGCCTTGCAAGACATATCGGGCTATCCATGCTCCTCCTTTAACAATGCTTTGGCTGAGGCAAGGGTGACTGGGGGGGAGGAGTTGTTTGAACATTTTCTGCAGTACAGTCGTCTTGGCTACCTGGTCATATTTGTAGCTCCCACACGAGAGGCATTGAAAAGTGCCGCAGGTGGAAGGGATGAGTCCGCATACGAGGCTACGGGTCTACGCGCGGGACACGTGTACTCCGTTTTGAAGATAGTACACTTTCCAGAGTATAATCTTCGCCTATTGCAGTTCCGTAACCCTTGGTTTAACGAGGGCGATGCTACCTGGAGTGGAATTTGGAAGAAAGGCGACAAAAAGTGGGATGAGTACGCTGAAGTGCGGGCTGCCTGCGACTACTCGGAGGGGGATGGGTCCATCTTTTACCTTGAGTGGCCGGAGGCCGTAGAGTACTTTATGGGTTGTGGTGTCAGCTTTATTCAACACCCCATGTACGACTTCCGCATTCGCGGCTGCTTCATGCAAAACGTTCCCACCACATGCTTGGAGATTTCCGTGACCACCCCCGTCATTCTCTGCCTTCTGCTCTCTCAGGATGACATGCGTGGCACCGATAAGCGTGAGTATGCCCCACTCATGATAAGTGTCGCGCACGGCTGCGGTGCAGTGACTCCAATGCGCGTGGACCTCAACAGTGGGTTTGACACGGACCACCCTTCCCCCGAGTACGCCTTCTTCCAGACCCGCGAGAGCAGCATGTTCTACGAATTTGTCCCTGAAAGCTCCCCCTACTTGGTGGTGCCACGCTCCATGAGTACGTACCCCATCCTGCCGTACGTCTTGGGCTTGCGCAGTCCGATTGAGGTGGGCACGAAGAATAGCCAGGTGCGTGTGCTGTTCCGTGCGCTCTCCCCCAGCTGCGGCGTCTTTGATAACAGGAGGAACTTTGACGCCTCAACAGTGCCCTGCCAGGCGGAGTTTCAGGTGATGGATCCCGAGCAGTTTTTTCCCGACATCTACGCCGGCACCGTCCTTCAGGTTGAGTAGTTCCTGCCCCACCCCCTACCCTCAGTGAAAAGCGGGGTGGGGCGGCAGGGTGTTAGGGTGCCAGTAAGCGCGGAGCCTCAATCACAACACTCCCGCCGCCTCAAATAAATAAATAAATAAATAAATAAAGGATAGAAAAAAAGCGGTGGCGATGGGGGGGAAGAAAGCGGCTTTCTGTTGGGGCTCCTCTCTGCCCCCTTTTCCCCACTCACAAAAGGGAAAACCGATGAGGGTTGGGACGGAGGCGGGCGGAGGTTTTGGGGGCGCCACGCAGTTCATGGTGTCCTTCGCATTGCCTGCGTCCAAGGGGAAAAAAGTTAATGTAATTAGGCAACGAAAGCAAAAAAAAACAAGCCGAGGCAAGTGACAGCAGCGCCAAGGAGGAGTAATAGAATTGGGGCCCTGACAGCCAGCAAGGGTCGGTGCTAAGGCACCTTTCTTTTTGTTGCTGCGCCCTTTCGTATTTTTGGTTCCTCATAGTTTTCTAGTCTCCATCGCGCCGCCTTTTGACTTGTCTTTTCTCAGCCCTTGATATTCGTCCTGTCGTTCAGTTTCCTTCGTAAAGCCCGAAGAAGAAAATGAATTTTTTTTTTGTAGCGTCTTTTTCTTTTTCTTTTCCACATTCCCCACCCTTCTTCCCTCATGTATGTGCAAAAGACAAATCAACAACACCAAAAGAAAAAAAAAGCGGAAATGATCGTTAGTAGCGTACAGACGGAGTGTAGACGGGAACACAACGAGGATAAAACGGGCGGTGGAAATGCATTTGACGGCAAATGCTTATGTGTCATCTTCGTTTTAATGAACGTTTTTTTTTTTCGCTTTTCCTCTTTCTTCTGCTTGTTAAGGCTCTTCTGAGGACTGGTAGTATGCGGTGGTCTGTCTAACAACCGTCCGCCATTTTATTGTTATTTTTTTTATTTTTCCCTTTCTTTTTTCCTTCATTATGCCAGTCCCCCTCCTTTCTTATATGTTTTTTTTCTTTTTTTTTCACTGGGGCAATGGGGGCCTGTGGGCGGAATCTGCCACCAGATGGGGCCATTTCTTGATGCTAGGGCGTATTGTGCAAATTCCCTGTGTGTCTGTGTTGACTAACTTGCTTCTTTTTTTTTTTGTATTCCGTGTGTGTGTGCGTGTTACCGGTCATGCCACACGCTCAAAGCCAACGCGAGTGCAGGTTTTTTTTTCTTTTTTTGCTCCTCCTCCCGCTTCACAGACCGCCACTTTGTATTTGCACGACGGGAGCCCAGGAGCCATAGCACGTATGCTTTTTGTGAATTCATTTGCTTATGGGTTTATGTGTGTGTGGGCGGGGGGCTGGTATGGGCGCGCACGCGGAACTAACCCGTCGACTTCCGTCGCTGCCCCTTTGCGGGTGTGGGAGGGGCAAGCCCCGGTCCAGGCAAGCGTTCCGTGCCTGAACAGAGTGCGGAGGTAGTAAAACCTCACATTTTTACGTGTACAGCCATTAATTAGTGTTGCCGTCCTTTTTTTTTCTTCTCCTTCTCTCCCTCGCTCCTCTTTTCACTTCGCCTCTGTGCGCAGGCTGTGGGTGCGGAAGGCTGAGCTGCGGCTCTGGCTTTTAGGAAACGGTATTTATACGCACGTAGATATCGCCATTGGTTCGCTTGCACCAAAAGCCGACGAAGTGCAAAAGTTAATGCCGACGTAAGAGGCAGCAAAGGAAAAAGAGAGAGAAAAAAAGCACCACCAAGAACACCGTCCGTAGAATGGCCACAATGCATAGCCAGTCTAGGACGGAATGGGAGGATGGGGAGACTGCGGATGTTGATGAGTTTGGCGAAGCCTCAGTGGAGCCGATTTCTCTAGAAAAAGAAAAGGACAAACCTTGGCGCGAATGTGGTCCCACTTGCGACGGGGAATGGACCTCGTGCTTCGAAGGAGGTTACTTGTTCCGTATTGTCAGTGAGAAGAAGAAGTGGGCGTTTTATAATGACACGAATATGTTTGAGATGCTTGTTGTATTTACCTTTGGGCGGGACTCCCAAATAAAGGCCGAAGGGAACACGAAAATCACGCGTAATGAAAACGGGGAATTTGTGGCGACGGCAGTGATTTACCCACTTGAAACCGTCATGTTCATTTCTGGGAACTGGAGTGGCTACCGGAGTCATGTCGAGGGCCGTCCACTGTCGCGCGGGTATTTGGAGCGGATTGCCCAAGCCAATGAGGGGGACTCGGAGAAGGCAATGCTGGAGGTGAGGCGGCTGTGCCCTTCCGGTGACGCGGAGGTTGTTTTAGCCGCCTGCATCGCGCACAGTGCGCCTTTTGTCGACCCCGAATTTCCGCCGACGTCAAGCTCGCTGGACAAGGGGAAGGGGCTCTTGTCGCCGCTTCCATGGCGGCGTCCGTCGGAGTATCTTCCGAAGGAGCTCGCGGGACACGTGGCGCTGTTTCGGATGCCCGTTACCGCCTTTAGTATGCGCCGCGGGGACCTCAGCGACTCATGGGTCATGACCGCCATGGCTGCCCTGGCCGAGAATGCGGAGTACGTCAAAAATATGTTTCGCCACCCAGTGGACCGCAGCAGGACGGCCAAGGAAGCGGGAGTAGGAGCCCATCGAGTGCTGTTGAACAGGGATGGTATGTGGAAGTCGTACCTGGTGGATAACTATTTACCGGTTGTTGGCAGCGGGCCACGGTTTGCGCAGAATGGCAGCGACCCATGTGAGATGTGGGTGCCGTTGTTGGAGAAGGCGTACGCTAAGCGGAATGGCGGATTTGCCAACATCTGCACGGGTGACCCTCTCATGGCGCTTTGCGACTTTACGGGTTGCCCAACCACGCGCCTTGACACTGCGTTCCTGGGAACCTCAGATAATCCAGACAAGAGCATTGAGTTTTTTGAACGTCTTGTTGCGTTATCTGCTTCGGGGCACATCATTTTGTTTAGCACGCCTGGTCTCGGCTCTGACAAGGCCAAATTGATCAACTACAAGGAGCGGGGCATCGCCATTGGTTACGCGTTGGCGGTTCTCAATGTGCGGCGCATCAGCGGCTACTGTTTGCTTCGCCTGCGCAATCCGTGGAGCAGGGGCGTGCGGTGGGAAGGAAATTGGGGTCCAGCCTCGCGTCTCTGGGACGAGCATCCCGAGGTGGCGGCAGCGTGCCCCGGCCACGACGGCGCGGAGGGCTCGCTGTGGATGGACTGGGATGAGATGAAAGAGTACTTTGTCGGGTGCGGGGTGGTCTTCAACCTCCTGCGACACTACGACTACCGCGTGCCTGGCATCTTCGCCGGTGCTGCCCCGAGCGTGTGTCTGGAGATCGCCGTTGCGGCCCCCGTGACGCTCGCCTCGACGCTGTCGCAGCCGGAGCACCGCGGCACCGAGAGGGAGGCGCTCGACTACGAGCCACTCATGCTGAGCTTGGCCTACGGCACGGGCCACGCCGAGGAGTTCGCGGTGGTGGCCAACACCTCGAAGGATGCCGAGAACCCGCACAGCGCCTACGTTTTCCTTCACGGACGTGACTTGAGCATGATCTACGAGTTCCGGCCCGAGCACTCCCCATACTTGCTTCTGCCGCGGCGCATGGAGCTCGCCGCCGAAACGGAGGCGGCGACGCTGCCCTTTACGCTGGGGCTACACTCGCCCACCCGCATAACAGAGAGAGGGGCGGTCAGTGTCGCCTTCAGGGCGCTCTCGGCGAGCAATGAGGTGTTTGAAAACTACCAACAATTCACCAACGACGGGGCGGCAGTCTCTGCGACGTATCAAGTCAAGTTCCCCAATTCCCGCCTGGAGGAATTGACGGCAGACCGGATTGTGTAGCAGGGAAGTAGAAGAGAAACGAGGCGGCGTGCGGCAATGACGATGAGCGAGGTTGAGGCCAACACGGTTTTAATCACTCCCAACCCCCCACTCCCGTAAAAAACAAAAACAAAACAAAACAAAGACCTATACATATCTGGCTTCGTGCTCTTCTTTTGCTGTCGGAGCGGAGGCGGACGTCGATGTAAATAAAAGCACCACACAGAGACGGAAGCACAGAAATATATATATATATATATATCCCGTGAACTATGCATACCCGTAGTCATGCTTTGTTTACGTGCGCGTGCGCGTGCGCGTGCGCGTGGGTGGGAACTGCGCGGCCAAGGGCCCACTTCCCAACTGGTGGGTGGGTGAGGAGGGCGATCGTGCCAAGCTGTACAGCGCTTGGCTTTCTGGGCGCTTCGCTTTTCGAGTCCCACGGGGTCGACCGCGCGGGGTGCGAATCCGCTTGAATGTCTTCTTTGTGCCTCGCCGCAGCATTTCATTTAACAACCATTGAGAAACTTAAGAAGTGTATTTTCTACAAGATGATTTGGTGAAGTATTTTATGCATTTTATAAAGCGACCTTTCGTACCACACGCGGGGAGACTGTCGTTTGGTTTTTGGGTTGCTCTTCTCCCTCGTTTTCCCTCCTTTTTTTTGTTCTTAACTATTTCCCACCTTCCCTGAGAATGTGCAACAGCCAACGCCAAACCCTGGCGCTATGTATTTGCACGGATGTGTCAGAAGCCCTCGTGCCGGGTTTGCCGACGCCTGGGCGCCGCACACAACCTGCGTCTCTCTCTCTCTGTGTGTGTGTGTGCTTGTGTTCCTCACCACAGTTTTTTTCTGCCCTTTCGTCTGTTTGTGCTGCCTCAATTGCGCTGCTAACTCCAAGGCCAGCGAAGTTAACCTCGAAGAGGAAAGTTACGATAATAAGTCCGTTTTTTTCTTTTCTTGTTTACGCGAAAGGACAGGGAATTGTGAGCGCGAAAAAGAAGCACAAAAAATTGAGAGGTTTTTTGGAGCCCTCTTCAAACAAAGCCGCATACTTGTTTTTCATTTTCGTTTTCGTTTTTTTTTCTTCTCTTTTTTGTTTCTCCTTGACGCGAAACCCTGACGGGGGTGAGAGGGGACTGACGCATACAGGCAGCTATGGGTTGTGGGGCATCGACGGCGCAGAAGCTGTCAAGGCCGGCGCATGACAGGCGCAACACCTTCGAGCGGAAGGAGGGGAAGAAGAAGGCGGGCGACAAGGCCGCGGACGAGTTTGAGGAGCAGACGATGAAGCCGCTGCCGCAGAAGACGGAGTTTGAGAAGAAGTTTAAGTGTGGTGCACCGTCGGTGGTCAGTGAGGACATCACCCCATGCTTTGACCACGGACTGCTCTACCGCATTGCGAAGGACGATGTATGGCTGTTCTACAACGACACACGCAACTACGAGATGCATGTGGAGTTTACGTTTGGCCGAACCTCCCTGATTCGCGCGCTGGGCAACACGAAGGTGAAGCAGGTGGAGGAGAGCGGGGAGTACGTGGCCGAGGCCGTCGTGTACCCCACAGAGACGGTTGCGTACGTGAAGGGGTCTATTGCCGGCTTCAAGAGCAAAATCAAGGCGCTTCCGTTGTCCGAGGAGTACCTGCAGGAGCGGGTGCGTCTGTACAACAGGCTGATAGAACCCGAGATGAATAGGGTGCGGGAGTTTGCCGAGGACTCTTCCACTGACGATGCCATCCTCGCGGAGTGCATTCGCCAGACGATGCCGTTTATTGACATTCACTTTCCGCCCAATCAGGGCTCCATCACACGGGGGTCCGAGCGGCCGATGAAAACCGTGATGTGGGCCCGCCCACACATGTACCTCCCGGACGGCTACTCCTCCCTGGTGCGTCTCTTCCGCAATAAGATCAGCCCCATGCGGGTGGACTTGGGGGAGCTGGGGGACAGTTGGCTGGTGTGCGCCATTGCCGCCCTCGCCGAGTGCCCGGATATGGTGCGAAACATGTTCCGCCACCCGCGCAAGCCGGAGCTGACGGCGGATGAGCGGGCCCTGGGGGCCTATCGGGTGACGTTCAACAAGAACGGCTGGTGGAGGAACGTTGTCGTGGATGACTACCTGCCTGTCCTTGGTGGACGGGCCAAGTACGCCAGGTCGCTTGATGATCCATGTGAGATGTGGGTTTCCATCCTGGAAAAGGCGTACGCCAAGGTGCATGGCAGCTACGCCAACATCGTTGTCGGGGATCCACTGCTTGCCTTGCAGGACCTCTCAGGCTACCCAACCACGCGCTACGATGAGTCTTTTGCAAGCGACATTGAAACAGGCGATACCGAGTTGCTTGAGCGCCTGGATCGCTACAGCCGTAGTGGGTACTACATTGGCTTGATCACGCCTGTTAGAGATGCCGAGAACGAGGAAAAGGAGAGCCTCTACAAGGAGGCGGGGTTAATGATGGGGCACATGTATACAGTCACGGCGGTCCGCCGTTTTGTGGAGGAAAAAATCTATCTCTTGTGCATCCGTAATCCTTGGGCTGCGGGCGTGGAGTGGAATGGAGAGTGGAACGCCAAGGACCCCAAGTGGGCGGAGCACCCTCGCATTGCTGAGGTCTGTGCGCCAGCTACTCCAGAGCCCGGCACCTTCTGGATGTCCTGGAGCGACGCGCAGCGGTACTTCAACGGCTGCGGTGTGGCTTTCCTCCGCTCAATGGGCGTGGATTACCGCATCCGCGGCGACTTTGTCCACGGCGTTCCCCAGTTCTGCGTTCAGCTCACCGTGAGGAAGGCGGCGAGCTTCGGGTGCATGCTTTCCCAGCAGGACCATCGGGGCACGGCAAAGGCGCGGGAGGAGTATCCGCCGATCATGCTGACGCTTAGCAGCGGTCGCGGTTCCCTGGACACGATGCAGGTGGAGTGCAACACCAACCTCGACTTTGACAACCCCACCAACCAGTTCACCTTTATGCAGAGCCGCGACGTGGGCATGCTCTGCAGCCTCACCCCGGAGTGCTCGCCCTACCTCCTCGTCCCGCGGGTGATGTCGGAGGAGGCCGCCGTGCCCTACGTTCTTAGCCTCTTCTTCGACGGCAAGCTCGGGGGCGACGTCAAGGCGGAGCTCCTGGCGCTCCCCGCGGACTGCCAGGCCTTTGCCAACTTCCCCTCCTTCTCGGGCAAAGGCACACCCGTGACGACGAAGTTTCAGGTGCGCTGCCCCGGCGCCGGGTACCCGCAGAAGTTCATGAACAAGGAGCTCACGGAGAGCACGAACGTGCCGAAGGAAAAGAAGAGGCGGGGGAGGGCGCCCACCGCGCGCCCCAGCGATGGCGGAAATGCCGTGCGCTCCTAGGCCTGGTGAGTGTGGGGACGGCGCGGAGAGAGGGAAGGGTAAAAAAAAAGAAAAGGCAAAGTAAAACGAAACAAAGACAAAAAAAACTAAAACAAAACAAGCTGAGCCAGCTGGAACTAAGACACGCAAGCAAAAAAAAAAAACGGGTCCCATTGTCTCTTCACCTCCCTCCAATATGCTACGGGGGAGGAGGCGTATTTTCTGCTGTTGGCAAAGGCAAAGAAAAACACGTCGAATGAAGAGGCAAGGCAACGACAAGCAAAAGCCGTTAGAGGGACGGGGGAAACCAATGTCCTCCAAGATTAGTCTGGTGCGTGGGGTGGGGAGTAAGGGATAAATACAGCAGCAACAAATACAAGACGAGAAGGAGCAATGATGTTAAGTGTATGTAATACGTTGGTTTCGCCTCTCTCTTGGGGTTTCCGCAGGTGCCTCTCTCGGCCACAATTCCTCTCGGAGGCGAGTTGCATAGAGTCACACCACACGTGAAAAATAGGGGAAGGGCCGGCGAGCAACCATGAGAGAGGCCGTAGCGGCAAATTCAACGAAGAGAAGAGAAGGAAAGAACGATGATAGGAGGCCCTGCTATGTGAGACTAAAACCAAGTGTACCCCTCTTTTCGCTCCTTCTCTCTCTCTCCCTCCGTGTATGTATATGATATATATGCAGAGTGAAGGGCGGCCACACGTGTCAGATAACATGTACATGCCCATTTCGTAGGAGAAGGTGTGGGGAGGATGCGACGAGCTCCCGAGAACGGGCGGTGGGGGGGCGCGGCGCCTGTTTTTTTTCTCTTTTTTTTCTTTTACTGTTCCCCTGTCATTGGAACATGGCTGTTGGGTGTTCTGTTGGCCTTGGTATATGTACTCGGAATACTCCTTCTGCCTCGCTTTGTGTTTTTGAGATGCGAGGAAGAAAACAAAAAAAAAAGCACACAGGTACAAAAATATGTACAATATATTACAATATTTGAGCTTCTGCCCCTGCTTGTTTTGGCCTTTCCCCCCTCTCTTTTCTCGTGTTAGTTGCAGTTTTCAGCCTACGGGTGTGTGCGTACCGAGGCTGCGCGGGTGTGTGTAACTAAAGATGCGGACAGGCGGTTGATGTATCCGTGGCACGGGGCCGCAGAGTAACGATCGGTGGGAGGCGGCGGCGAAGCGGGGGAAAAGAAGTAGGGATGAGTGAAGGAGGGAGGGGTGGGTTGGTTTTAGCGGAACGTGGCCGTGGCCAAATTTTTTAAATTATTTCGTCTCCATGTATGTGTGCGTTTCTTATTTTTTTTTGTTTTTCTGCGGGTTTCCCGGAACCGTCTTGGCAGCTTGAAGCTTTCTTTGTTTCTTGTTTTGTTATTATTATTCATTTTTGTTTTCCTTCTTTCTCTGTGTTTTCGCTTTTTTGTTTTTGTTTTTTATGCCTTTTTTTTTGTCTTTTGTTTTCTTCTTTGCGTTCCGTTGCTCTTGCCCTCTTCGCTCCCGGGCCCTTTTTTCCGCCTGCCGTCCCCCCTCCGTCCTCTCGGCCGCTGCGGCGGGGGTTCCACCGTCGCCCCACACATTTTTTTTCTTTGTTTTTCCTCTTATTACTTTTCTTCGCGTCGGCTCCCGCTCTCGCGCCGCTGCCGCGGCTTGCCGCGACCGCGCCGTGGCTCCGGCGCCCCGCCGCAGAGGACTCGATAAGGCGCCGCTGCGCCTGGACGGACGATTCTGCTTGCGCCCTCCCCCCACGCACGCTGCAGGTTTTTGTTGTTGTTGTTTTTGTGGCCGTCGTCTTCTCGCTTTTTTTCTTCTCGCATTGCCGCTTGGCCTCCCCGCAGGCAAGGGAAAAGGCTTGCAGACAACAAGATCCCTCTCCCCCCAGCCCAGCAGAAGTAAAGGGGGGAGAAAAAAAAAAGCGGGGAGGGGGGAGGAGGGGGGCGCCACATCCTCTTCACTTGATTTCTTTTTCCACTTCCCTTTGGCCGCGGACACGCCCCAAGTTGCGTCGGGCACGCGACGCAGGTGTTGCATAGGCGGGCCGCGGGTGTGCCTAGTGGAGGTCCTCACTGGCCCCGGTTTGGTTTCCTCTTTCTCTGTCGCGCGGGAGCGCGTCTGAGGCGGAAACACACGTGTTTGTGTGGGGGGTTTTCCGTTCCCACTCCACGCGGCTTTGTGGGGATGGGGGGTGGAGCTTCCGCCGCAAAGGGGGGCGAGACTGCCGCGAGCACTCGTAGCGACTCCCTAATAACTCATGCCAGCGGCATTGACGCAGGTTTTGCGGCCGCCTCCACCTCTAAAGGAATTCTCAAAAACGGCCAGCAGGCGAGACCATATGACACGTTCCAGGACTACTCATTGGAGTGGCAACTGCCGGATTTGGCTACGCCTTGTATTCCGCTTCCGGCCGCCCAACCACTTCCCGTGACTATTGCGGACTACTCGCTTCATGGGACAGCTTCAAGCCGGCACACCGCGGGTCTTGTCGATCACTGCGGCGGCGTCAGGACGGACGGAAGGCCCTTTCCGGCGCAGGTGTATAATTATCAAGGCAGGGGCTGCGGTAGATTTAAGCACGGCTATCCGGCGTTGTGCGGCGGTGATGACGTGATACCGATTCCCCTGCTCACGGACGTGGGCGGTGTGGTCTTTTGCTATCGTATTCTGAGCGTGGACGGAAGCCGATGGAGTTTCTACAATGACACCGTCACCTACGAGCTGGAGGTGGTTTGCGTGTTTAGCGCCGCCTCTCAAATCCAGGCGCTGGGTTTGACGTCGCTGCATGAACGCTCGGATGGGCGAGCGGAGCTGCGCCTTGTGGTGCACCCAGGAGAGACGCAGGAATTTGCATCCGGCGATGTGGAGCGCTACGAGGAGGACATCCGTCTAAGCTATGTAAGTCGTGCCTTCATAGGCGCCTCTGCCCGGGCTTGCGAGCCATTTTTGCGGGATGAGAAGGCGGGTATATATGCCTTGCTTGCAAAAAAGGGGAAAAAGGCGGAACCAGGAAACCGCTGGGGCGTCACCAGTGAGGAGCTCCTGCGCTGGTGTGTGGGGGAGCACGTGCCGTTTTTGGATTTGGAGTTTCTCCCCAATTTTCGCTCCCTGGTTGGGAGAGAAGCGGAAACGGAGAGCCAGGTCCTATGCGGCTGGTGTAAGCCGAAGAATTACATACCGGCAGAGGCAGTGGCGGGGGAGCCTCGCGTCCTTCGCAGCCTTCCGCGGCCGATGAATGTGGGGGTTAGTCTGACGGGGGGTCAAGGCGTCGTGTGTGCGCTGGCGATACTGGCGGAGGACTTTGCCGCGGTGGAGCGGCTTTTCCGGCATCCGATGGGCCGCGCCGCCGCAGCCGAGGAGCAACACATGGAGGCGAGTAGAGTGACGCTGTGCAAGAGCGGCTGGTGGACCGCTGTCGTCGTGGACCATTACTTCCCCGTGCTCAACATGAAATTGCTCGGTGGGAAGTGCATCGACGACCCCGCGGAGTTGTGGGTGGCGGTGGTGGAGAAGGCGTACGCCAAGCTGCGGGGGAGCTACCTCGGGCTGGCTGCCACAGACGCGCTGCGTGCGTTGGAGGAGCTTACCGGGTATCCCACGTGCCGCTGGGATGGCGTGCTGCAGGACGCCGGCCGGCATGAGGAGCTCTTTGATAAGCTCTGCCGCTTTTGCGAGTTGGGGTTCACCGTTGTCTTGGATCGGCCCAACCTCGCCTCCGGTGAGAGGGCGGTTCAGCGGCTTGGGCTAGAGAAGGGGAGCGCATGCGTGGTGCTCGGCGTGAAGAGGTTTCAGCCGATGCCTGTCAGTGGGGACCAGGGCAAGGACTCGCAAGCAGGCACGCATCGCCTTGTGCGGATTCGGAATCCATTTGGCAGCAGCCGTGACTGGATTGGCGCCTGGAACTGGGGCGATCCTGCATGGCGGGCCCATCCGGCAATAGCTGCGCAGTGCGGCTTCGGAAGGGACGAGGCCGATGACGGCTCCTTCTGGATGGAGTGGCGCGACGTCGTGCGTTGCTTTCGCGGGTGCGGGGCCTGCTTCACCCACAACTCCTTTTACGAGTACCGCGTGGAGGGCAGCTTCGGCCGGGGCGGGGTCCCAGGCTGCGTGATCAAGCTGGAGGTTAGCCGGAGCCTGTACGTTATGGGGATGCTGCAGCCGGAGCTGCAGGGCGGCGGCGGCGGCGGAATGCAGCCTGTTTTGCTGCAACTGTCGCGACGCCGCCTCGCGGAGGAGCAGCCGCGTCGGGCCTCAGTAAAGCGCTCCGAGGGACGGCAGCAGGAAGTCGTGCTGAATTCCACCGCGGACTGCGACTGCCCGAGCCCCAGCGTGTTGACCTTCCGCGCCTCCCCGCAGGTGAGCCTCATCGCCGCGCTGCTGCCGGAGCACAGCCCCTACTACCTCATCCCCCGCACCACCTCCACCGCCACCGCGGCGGCGTACGTCCTGGGCCTCTTCACCAGCGCCCCCTGCGGCGACGGCGGGGAGGGCGCGCCTGCGGCACGCAGCGCCTCCCTGTCCGCCTCCGCTTCCTTTCCGCCTCCGCCTCCCAGCCCGCCTGCGGCGGCGCCGTCGTGCAAGCCAAATTCGTGCGTCTTTCCGCAAAGACGAAAGTTTTTGCCGGCAGCCTGCAGTTTGAGGTGTCGTCGGAGACGCCGGTGAAGTGCCGGTATCAGGCCGTCTCCCCGCTCGCCTCCCCGCTCACGTTCCCGTCGATGTTTACTGACAAGTGTATACGGTAGGCCCCATGTACAGACCGTCTAACGGCCCCTCCTCCCCCCTTTTTCTTCTTTACCTCTTTGCCCGTTTTACTGGCGTCTTGGCAGCTGTCAGCAACGCGGTGGCGAACTAATTAACCTTCCCCGCCTTCCTCCATTTTTCTTCCGTTTTTTTTGTTTTGGGGGGGGGGGGGAGGGGTTTCCTCCCACGTCGTTTATACGGTTCCTTTCCGCCTCTTTTTATGCCATGTGTTTATCGCCTGCCATCGGCGCGGCTCTACTGGCAGTGGAACTCCTGCTGCTAACTGCGCGCGCACGTTGTTGCCGGCCCTCTGCCTCTCTCGCTCCCTCCCTCCCTCCCACGCACACGCACGCCCCGCTGCCGCTTGCCCTGAGCAGCTCTGCAGCGTATTGCCGGCGCACCTCCGCCTTTTCTCCTCCACGCACTTGCGCCTCACGCCTGCACAAGAAGGAAGTTTACAAGCCAGACAGCAGCAGGCTCCTCAGCAAGTTCGCGCACGTCGCTCCTCAGCTTCGTTAAGGGAAGGAATAACACAGGACAGAGAAGAGGACAATTCCGCAGTACACGGGAATAAAGAAGGAAAGGAGACTTGTGCACGAACGGGAACAGAGAAATAAATAATAACAAAAAAGAAGTAAAGAAAAAAAAGCCCGGCAAAAGTAAACCGCACTGAGGCAAAAGACATGGGCTCACCATACTCGAAGTACGGCTCGCACGGGCTGCTTGCCAACCCAGAAATGCATGGTGACCTGGAGACGTGGCTTTTTAACGGGCTCCTGCTTCGCGTCATTGACACAAGCACCGGCACGTGGGCCTTCTTCAACAACTCCAAGGACTACGAGTTTCACATCACCTACCTGCTCAACGCGGACAGCATGGTGGAGCCGCTGAACAAGACCACCATCGAGGTCCAGGACGACGGCATCCTGTGCGAGATGATGGTGTACCCGCTAGAGACGCAGCGGTTCATCGTCGGCGAAGTCACCGGCTACGAGAGCAAAATCGAGGCCCTTCCCCTCTCGGACGACTACCTGCAGTCCCACCCAAACATCGACGAGCGCGCGTACTGCCGCCGCCTCGTGCCCCCCAGCGCCTCCCAGTTTTAGGCACGGACGGGGTGACAGTGCGTGCACGAAGGAGCAGAAGACAAGCAGAGTAAGCGGAGGGACGAGCGAAGGGGGAATGTAAAAAAAAAAGCAAAAGGAAACCAAAAGCCCAAAAAAACGAAAACAAAAAACAAAACAAGACAGTAGTAGTGGCAGAAAATGCGGGGGGGGGGACGTGCGGCACAGAAGAGGGAGTAAAGCAAAACAAGGGTGAAATGCTGTCCGTGAGCAGGCTGGTGGCCCGGGGCGAGCCCCCATGAGGCTGACGGTGTGGGGTGTGGGCGGGGAAGTGAGTTGCGGGTGTCCGGGCGAAGTGCGCGGGTGGAGCTGCAGCCGAAAAAGGCGGACTGGCAGCCTGGCCCCCTTCGCCGGGGGAATTGCCTCTTCCTTATTATTATTGCTATTATTATTATATATTTTTTCTCCCCTTGCGGCTCGCCCCCTCACCCCCGCTCCGGCTCCCCAACCGCGGTGGAGATTAGGTATTATACCCGCCTCCATCAATGCGCCTGCACGCTCTATTTGTCCCCCCCCCATCTCCTCCTCGTCGCCCTCGTTGCAGCTCTCGCTGCAGTGTCGGCGTATACATCGTCATGCAATCGCAAAGATCTTTTTGTTCTACAGTTTTATTTGCTTTTTCTTTTTTCATTTCTCGTTTTTCGCAGCATCTTTTTATGTCTTTGCTTTTCGCATTTTTCCCCACGTTTTTCCCTTGTTTTTTTTTCCTGTTTTTGTTTCCGGTGATGATGCCCCCGGAAGAAAACGGCACGCGCGAGAGAAATAACGGCCGCCGCGCCTGCCGGCCTTCTCTGCTGTGCTCCCTCCCCTCACGGTCGGGCGTAAACGTTGCACCGTCCCACAGCTGTGGGGCGGTGGCAGGAGAGTAAGCGGAGCGCTGAGCCCGACGGGGCGAATACGCGGGCAGAAGCCGCGGAGAGAGCGTGGGCCCAAAAAGATACTCTCCCCCTGAGCGGAGCTGGGAGGGGGGTGTGCGTGTGTGTGTGTGCGGAGGCACTGATGTCTCTTCGTTCCACCCCTCCCTCGTTTCCGGTCTATTTTCTGCTTTACTTTTTTTTTTCTTCGTTGTTTGTATGCCTCCCTGCAAGTTTGTTTGCTTCTTTGTTTGTCGCCGCTGGGTGTTTGTGACGTGTGCCCCGGCATAGCGGCGGTCAGTGACGAGGCGCAAGGCAGGCGGGTCTGGCGGGCGGGGCGGCAGGGACGGCGGTACAAAAAAAAACAATGACAAAAAAGACGATGCTGCACCGCAGTCCGGCAGTAGCGCCAAACTATGTGCCATGAAACTCTTTTCCTCCCTCTCCCTGTCTCTCTCCCTTTTTATTTCCTTCCCGCCGTGTCTGTTGTGTGCCGCCCGCCGTTCCCCGCTCGCCCGTTCGTTTGTTTCTCTTCTCCCCGCCCCCGCCTGCTCTTGCGGCGCGACGTCTCGCATTCATGTTATTGTGAATAATTCGACCGCTTGTCGTTCTCTTCGCTTTTTAATTTCGTTTTTCGTTTTTCACCTCTTCGGCCCCCTTGCTGTTGCAGCACTGCCTACTTGCAGCCGCCCCCCTTCCCCCTCGTTCCCTCCCTCCCTCCCTCCCCGCGCGGAGGCACAGCGGCAAACAACAGTCTGTGGAGGGAGGGAGGGGACGAGGGGGAAGGGGGGAAGAGAGAAAATTACATGCGTCTGCCTGTGTCTGTGTGCGGGGCGGCGGGAGGGGGGTGGCTGCGGTCGCCGGCGGAGAGACGTGAAAGGCGACGACGGAGGTGGGGCGGGAGACCGCCGCTGCCGCTGTGGCGGGCGTTAGGGCATAACTACTTCACCCCCGCGCGCGAATGTGAGCGGAGGAGCACTGAGAGGTGGGTGTCCGGTAAAGAAGGCCACGCGCAGCGGCGGCGGCTGCGCCTTCACGCAACCCCCTTCCCTGCCTGGATGTGTATATGCTTGTGTACTTGTGACTTAAAAAAAAGCTCTCTCTCTCTCTCTCTTCCTTTCACTGTTTTACGCACTCCTCACTTTGCTGTGTGTGCGTGTGTCTCTGCCGCTGCGGCGTCCCTGCTGACCTCCCTGGCTGCCTTGTCTTTTTCCCGTCTCCTCTTTTTCCACACGGGCACCGTGTCTCGGACGAGACGACCCGCGAAAGAAAAGCAAGAGGCAACTTTTTTCGCTTTTTTGTTGTTGTTGTTGTTTTTTTTTGGTTCCATTTCACGCTATTTCTTCGTGGCTGTGCGCGTCGGGCCACATATTTTTACTGCCGTGCAAACACATTTTTGGGCCGCGCTTGGGATGGGCTCCTCCTCCTCCAAAGTTCACTACGTGAACGGGACGCCGACCTTCAAGGAGGCGACGAAGGTGCACCCCATGTTCAACGGCCTGCTCTTTCGCCTCTGCGACCCCAGCAGCAACCGCTGGGGCTTCTACAACGACTCCCGCGAGTACGTCATGCACGTCGCCATCCTCTTCGACTACGACAGCCAGATTGTGCCGCTCGGCTCAGCCACCGCCTACCGCATCGACGACCCCGAGGAGGGCAGGGAGGATGACATGGGGAAGTACGTCGTGGAGGTGGACATCGCCCCGCTCACCACGGAGATGTTCGTGGAAGGGCGGGTCACCGGGTGGAACATCGACACCCTCGAGGCACGGACGGCCACGGACGAGCAGGCGTTCCGTCTCTAGGCGCGACGCGGCGGCCCCAGCACGGAGACGCGTCATATACATATATATGGTATTTATGCTTTGTAGCACCAAAGAAGCGGGGTGGTGGTGACGGTGGCGAGGCAACAAAAACGAATGCAAAAAACAAACAAACAAACAAACAAACAAATTCCCTTTTCCCTATCCCCCCCACCCACCCACCCCCAAAAAAAGGAAAAGTAGAAAAACCCACTGGTAGGGGAAGCGTCGGCTCAAGTCCAGGCGTGTGAGGAAGAGTGCCGCCGAGCAGCGGCAAAAGAACAAGAAAAGAAAAATAAAAACGGCAGCAAGTGCGTGTTGTTAGTATGACTGAGGGAGATGAGCTGGGCGTGAAGTGAAAAGTGAGAGAGGACAGTATAATAAAGGCTCTTTTTCTATGTGAGTGAATCGTGGAGGCCATGAGCGACAAGGGAACGCCGGGGACGGCTGTCCAGAACACAAAGTGCCGAATGCCTCCTTCGCCGGGTGCCGTCGTCTAAAGCGGGGGCGCCTGACGCTGCGGCGGGCGAAGGAGGCACCCCGGCACCACGCGGCTCAAGGCAGCATAAAAAGCCACACCCCCCAGACCGGGGTGACTAGGGGAGCCAGCCGGTGTGGTTGCTGCAGCCAGTTACGACGGCTATTCTCCTGCCTTGTTCTATCCCTCCCAAGGTTTTTCATTTTTTTTTGTGTGTGCTTTTTTTTTTGGCGGGGAGACGGGGGAGCATGCCGCTCCATCCGATGACTAAATCTTCTTTGATTTCTTCGTGCGTGTCGCGGGTTTAATGCGTATTCTGTTGTGCACGGTGGTGCAGAGTGGGAAGGGGGCAACAAAGCCCGAAACACGAAGGAATAAATAAGCAAGAAATAGCCCTCCCCGCAGCTGACGAAATAAGTGAGTCTTCGCCTATGGGCATACTTATCACTGGTAGGTTAATTTTCGCTTCCCCTGCCTTTTCTCATTGTTGTTTTTGTTTTGAAGGGCCTAAGTTTCACTGACACCTCAACTGCTCCCCCTTTCTTTGCTAGATTATTCTTTGCGTTTTTTTTGCTTTTTGTGCATATCTGTGTATGTCTTTTACTCCGTAAGTTTGTCTCTCTGCCAGAGGCTGAGGGGGGAGTGCCGCGGTCGTGTGGGTGTGTGTGTGCCTTGCGTGCCTGCCTGCGTGGTGACGCCTTTTCCCTTCTCTTGCTGCATTTTTGTTTTCACGCCTTGTCGTTGCTGATTTCCGGTGGGTGGGCGTGTGAGCTGCCGGAGAGGGGCCAAAGGAGAGAAAAGGGGAAGGGGGCGGACCCACAACAGCAAGCAACACCCACCGAACACTAGGAGTAATACACTGCAGGGAAAGGAACAAGAGGGGAGTAAAAAAACGGCCACTGCACTTGTGTACATTATTAGGGGGCTCGCTACGGACATTCGGCCAACGGGAGACGTCTCCTCTCTCTCTCTCTCTCTCCTCCCTCCCCCTCCCCCGCTGATTCCTGTTTCACCGCCCTTGCGCCTCTTCCTCCATTACTTCTGCGCGGCGTCCCCTTCACACCTGCCGTCTTGCTTGGTGTGTGTGTGTGTGGGTGTGAAAGAGGGGTCGACGGCCGGCGAATTGCGTGGGTGTGGCGGTCGGCTCTGAAACCCGCGGTGGCACGCTGCCCGTCCCACCGTTGCCTCGGCTGGGGTGATGCCTTCCGAGAAGTCCTCGTGGCCGCAGGTGGAGACCGCAGCGGCGCCGCTCGGCCTCGCAGGGGTCACAACTGGCTTCGCATGCAACGAGGCGGACGCTGCGCAGGTGATCCCCCTGCAGCCCCGCACGGACGCCGAGCTCGAGGCGATGGAGCGACAGCGCTGGGGCAGAATGGTGCAGGAAGGGGTTTTCCACCAGACCCTCCATTTTCAGCGCTGGGACAAGGAGGCGCTGCTGCGCGGATTGCTCTACCACACCCGCGCTGTGGCGGCCCGCACGACGGTGCGACCCACAACCACGGCGGCGCTGGTTTTGAGTCTCAACATCAGCCCGGTCCTCTTGTCCGGCGAGAACGAGGGTGAGCGGGGGGAGGAGGTGCCGCCCAAGGCCTCCCGTCTCTACGCGTGGCGAGCGCCCGCGCTCCTGCCAGGCGATCGGCTGAACATTCTGAGCCAACTCGGTCAACGGCTTGAAAGTCAGTATCGATCCCTCTCCAAGCGGTCGTTGACGGTGGGTCACTGCCTTAATGCAAGACAGGAGGACCTTGTGCGGGCGCTGGCCCAGTGCCGTCACCAGGCGGGCCCGAAGAGCAAGGTTCTTGTGCACTACGGAGGTCATGGAGTGCCGCGGCCGGGTGGGGGCTCCCTGTACCTCCAGTCTCCCAGCGGGGATGCGGTGAAGTACTCCCTGGACACATTCTGCTCCCAGGTTGGATTCCCGCTTATCATGGTGGCAGAGTGTGAGAACGCCGTGAGCGTACTGCACCACCTCTTAGAAAATCGACAGAAGGGGGATATCGAGCATTCCTTTAGCTACCGGCAGTATGGAACGACCATCGGTGGATCTGCGTTGGAGGAGCCCGAGCGGCCGTACTTGATGGTGCCGGGCTGGGACCGATACGAGGTGGCTTCGGTTTCTGGCATGGAAGGCGCCACAGCGACGCCCCCTTCGAGTGCGGCGTACTTGTCCGCCCTGCGTTGCCTAGGCTCTGCTGCGGCGCCAGCCGCACCTCCGTTGCTTTTCGACGACTTTTTTTTCCTTGGCGCCTCCGAGGATGGGGCCCTTCCGCAACACCCCAAACTGCCCTCGGATATTTTTACCTCCTGCCTAACGACGCCGGTGCGTATGGCGCTACTGTGGTTTATTGTGCAAAATGCTCAGACGGCGGATGTCCACCCGCTCTTGATGTATCTGCTTCCAGGGGAGTTGAATGACAAGAAAACCCCACTAGGGGCACTGCAATGGGCCTTCATGTCCATCACGGAGTGCATCGCATGGTCTACCTTTCCTCATGCCTTATTTATGCATCTGTTTCGCGAGGATGTGGTGGCGGCCCCCTTGTTTCGTGGGTTTCTGTTGGCGGACCGCATTATCACCGCGCTGGGGGCGAAGTTGACTGTCTACCCACCATTGCCACGCACCAGCGACCACACGCTGTGGGACACTCTGGACAACGTTATTGATCGCACCTTGGTATCGCTTTGGCGAGCGGTGCGCCCAACGCCGCCGACGATGCTAAACGCCCTGGAGTTCCGCGAGTGGCTGGACTGGAGCGCGGCGAGTTGGCAGTACGACAAGGGCTCAATGACGTTGCCGTCCTTGGGGGATCGCGCTGTCGTTGTGCCGGACTTCCTCGGGGAGGAGTTTGCCTGCTTGGCCGCCGTAGTGGAACGCATCACGGAGCAAGGCTTCACCAGACTCGTAAGCGTCGATAAGCAGCGAGCAGAGTTTCTTGTGGGCTCGGCCACGGCCAGGCGACGGCCTCGCACGGACGACGACAGTCCCTTGTTGTTTTTTCGGATGAATGCCCCTGGAAATGGGAATAGCTCTACCACGACGAGGCCCTTTCCTCACGTTGTGCGGTTGCCTATGCTTCTGCAGGGACTCTTAGTGATGTCGCACCGTGAGGAGGCCACCGAGCTGGTCTGTCGCTTCGTGGATGCCGGCCCTCTGGCCGTCACGGCCTGCGCCGAGGTGGGGATCTTTCACATTGCACTCGTGCATTACTGGAGTCGCCCCGACTTGCGCCATCTGCTACCAACCATGTTATTTGTTTACGCCAAGGCGTGCCACACGGATCCCTCGTTGGGCGACGCGGACCCGAGGCAGCGTAATCTGATTATTGACACCTGCATGGAACTTCTGGAGCACCCGTTCAAGGTTCCTGCCGAGTCCACGGGGGAGGCTGGGGCGTGGCAGCGCGACGTCCTTGGGTCTTGGGCAGAACCAGACGGCCAGCGGTTGCTCGCGGCGGCGCTGCTCACCATGCTGTGCCTCCACTCTAGTGAGGCGCGGCGGCGCTGTCGCGAGCATGACGCCCTCCGCGTGTGTTGTAAGCTCCTGCGGGACGCGGCCGCAAAGACCCCAAGTGTCCGGCCACACGCGGTTGCGTCGAGGGGCGAGGGGGCGGGCGCGGAGGGGGAAGAAGGGAGTGGAAGCGAGGGGAACTTGTGGGAGGAGTGCGCCCCCGACGGGACGGACAGCAATCCGGTGCCGATGACAACGCACCTCCTGGGCCTCATCGCGTTCCTAGTGGCCATCGCCTGGGAGGGGCCCCTCTCTGTCGCGGCGGCAGATGAAAAGGAAGAGGCGCCGCAGCAGCAACCGCAGCAGGAATCGTACGAGGCATTGGCTTTGCGGGAGCATCTCTCCACGGCGATTGAGGCGCTGCAGGCTTTGTCGTCCGCCAACGCCTCGGCGGTGCGTGGGGCAGCCACTAAGGCCATCACGGTGTTGTTGTTGTCCCACATCACGGACGAGGAGACCGCGATCATGTGCGTGCGGAGCATCACTGGCATGACTGCGGTAGAACTGACACCCTCCGAAGCCAACACCGATAACCGTCTCGAGTTTGTGGGCGCTCTGTCCGTGGCCACGAGGTGGCTGATCAGCCATCTCTCCTTTACGCTCCCGCTGGGGGAGATTCGGCGGGAGCTGCGCCGCGAGATGACCAAGGTCTGGCGCACCGTCTTTGGGGCCCTCGCCCATGACGCGGGCGAGGACGATGCGAGCGGTTGCGGCTCCGATGGCCGCCTCGCCGCGCCCTCGCCCCCGGCGTCCGCCAGCTTCAGCGGTGTGGACGAGCTGCTGCGCATCCTGGCGAGACTCACCTGCCGGCTTACCGTTGCGACGAAGGACCCGTGCCCCCTGGTCGCGGCCCACGCCCAAAAGGTGCTCCGTGACGAGTTGTCCATGTTCCACGTGCGGCACGTGCCGTTTTTGCAAACCTCAGGCAATGCCCCATGCGGGCGCGCCGACGCAGCCGCCTCCTCCCGCCATTCTGCGATCGCAACTTTTTTCTCAGGTGTGTTGAGCACGCTGACGTCGCGTGGAGGGAAGCCGACCCCTCGAGACGACCGTCAGGGCGGCGGGCAAGTGCTGCTAGACCTGGAGGGCGAGGACACGGTGGAGGAGATGCTGGAGGCGGGCGGTGTTGTGGGTGGCGGCAAGACCGCGTCGGACCACAACCTCTCGCTGCGTACCGTGTCGGTGGACGACAACTGGACGATCTCCTCCTTCGTCTATACGCTGCTCTCGTTTCTCGGGGAACTGCTGCTGATACCCATGGATGACCATGACCCCAGGCACCCCTTTAACCTCGAAAAAGACGCCCACCTGCTCAAGTACCTGCGACAACTGCGCGACGAGCTGCGTGTGGCGGCGGCGCCCGGCTACGGCGCACGCGGGTACGAGGGCCACGTCCTCGCGTCCCCGTGGCTTCCAGCGGCTTCGCCGCAATGGAGCCATCCGCCGGGTCCGTCGATGCCGTCGCAAGAGGATGAGTCGCGCGGCCACACCCCCTCGCTTTCCTCCCTCCTGAATTTGTCATCAAGCGCCAGCGTCGACGCCGCTGCGGCTTGGACGACAGACCGCCAATATCCCTACCGGCTGCTGGCGGAGAGGCATACGCTGGTGGAGCGTCACGGCAGGATGCAGGTTTTGACCTTTCACCCCACGGAGCGGCACTGCATAACGGGGACGAGTCAGGGCGTTATTCAGGTCTGGTCCTTTGCGGACGTGCCGGGCGCTTCCCTGGCGTCGACGGCCGCCGCCTCTGGTCCCTCGCCCGTCTCCGGGGAGCCTTGCCGGTTGATGGCGCAGATTCCGCTTTCGGAGGTGGTGGCACGACCGAGGTGCGCCATGCCCCCCTCGACGGTGTTGAGGTACATGTACGACACCCAGCCGACCTCGCCGCACCGTGTCTACTACTCTAGATCGTCTGGCGAGGAGTTTCCGGCCTACGGTGCCTGCGGCGCTGCCTCCGAAGCGACGCTGCCGCGGCGACGGGGGCTGTTGGGGTCAGGCGATTACGGGGAGCGTGGGACGAAGGGGGCGGACCCGCTCACGGGGTTGCACCTGGTCGACTCCGCCTACCGCACCCTGCTCTGCGCCGTGGGCCGCTCCGGCTCTGTTCAGCTGTTCTCAGGATACACCGATGCGGCAACCGTGCGGCGCGTGACCACCTTTCTGACCATGACCCACGAGGAGTCCCTTCGGAGTCATCAGTGCCTTTCTTCGTACCACGCACCGGCGATGCTGCTGCACTTGACCAGCGGCGATGGGTCCATTACCTCGTGGGACTTAAACTGCGAGCTGCGCGTCTTGGAAGGAGCCGGACGCGCTGAACTCGTGAATTCACCTTCCGCTTTGGCTTCACACCCCTACGACGTCTTTACGTTTGCTGTAGGCGCAGGCTCTGTCTACCTCTACGACCTGCGGCGTCCGAGTCGCTCCACCCACGTGCTGCCGGATCCCACATCGCTGGGGCAGCCCCTCCAGCGGCAGGAGCGGCGCTTGTGCGACCACAAGCCCTTGTGTTTGCACATTGGCTTTTCCTGCCGCTATCCGCACGGTCTAGTGACAGGGCACGGCGGGGAACGGGGGGTTGTGATGGTGTGGGATGATCGCAATCTGCAGCAGCCTCTCTTTCAGAGGGTGGTCTCGGACACCGGGGGCGCCAGCTCCCCCTCCTTCCATTCCGTCGGCTACATGGACGTGCAGCACTACCATTACGCGCTCACCACCCTGTCGGTAACGGCGGATGCGCTCTGTGTGGAGGATGCCTTGGACGCTCCATCGTCGCCGCCGCCGGGGGCAGGCGGAGGAGGCACGAGTCGGACGCACATACGGCTTAAGCAGCAGCCTGCCGCGGCCTCCTTTCACCCCGTTCTCCCGCTGTGTGGTGTGGCGGGTGGGGGTTTCTTGCAGCTGTACGGCCGCAAAAAGGTGTCGATGTCCGATCGACACGCTTAACACGTGCCTCACGTTCCTTTTTGCACACATGCATACAATACATACATCACTACATCCATGTACTTCTCTTCTAAGGGCGAGGGGAGGCTTAGAAAGAGCATCGGAGGAGGGGGGAAGGAAGCAAGAGCGAGAAAAAAAAAACAAAAAATAAAGGAAACGAAAAAGAAAAAAGAAGCGACGGCTATGTATATATATATATAGCTGGGGCAAGAGTTTGTGTAATTGCATGCACACTACTTTCTTTTTGTTCTGTTTTTGTTTTTGGGTTCTTCCTGGCGCGCGGGAGTTGCAAGCTGTCCACTGCACGTGCAATAGACGTTTTCCATGATGGTCTGCGTGTGTGGATTCTGCGGCGATCGCGGCGACCACTTCCACCACGTGGCCACCGCCGCTGCGGCGGGGCCATGGTGTAATTGGCATGCTGCCACCCGCGCATGTGCAGGCAGTACGCTGTTGACTGATTGTGAGTTTGTGTGTGAGGGGTTGCCATCCATTTGTTGTTGTTGTTTTTTTTTTGTTCTTTTCGACTGCGTCCTCCTCGACGCGCGCTGCAGCGCCTGACGGCCGGGCGCGGCGGGCGCCAACTAAAACTCATCCCTGCCGCAGAGAAGCGCAAAAACGAATAAAAAATATAAACAGCAACAACAAAAAAAAAACGCCGCAAACACCGAGCGACGCTGGGGGACGACGCTGACCCCTGACTGCAGGGGTGGGGATGAGACACTTCCGCATCCAACCGGTATGTTTTTTCCCTCTCTTGTTGTTGCTGTTGCTTTCTATTTGTTTATTATTATTATTATTATTGTTTTTTTTTCCGGTTTGCTGCTTTGGGTGGGCGGGCGGGCGTCGTCTCAGTGCGGCCAACGGAGCATGCAGAGTTGGGGGGGGAGCGGCCACGTGACGCGGCAGGTCGGCGGCGCCCTCCAGCCAGCCTCGTTGGGGGCGGCCCCGGCGAAGCGGGACGCCGGCGTCGGGAAGGCCGCGTTACACGCCGAACAAATAGTGTGGCCGTCCGCCCCCCGGAAGGGGGCCGCGGCCGCAACGCACCCCGACGGCTGCGGCGGTAAGGCCCCCACCTGGGGGGACGGCAAGGATGACAACGACGGGGGCGGCCTGTCTACCTGCAACGAGTCCCCGTACTCGCGGCGGCAGGGCTCCCGCGCCGGTTGCGCCCTCCCGGTGGGGCGAGCTGGCGCAGTGGCGGCAACCGCGCCTGGCCCGCCCGCGTTTACCGGCCCAGGTCCGGCCGAGAGCGTTCAGTACGATAAACTCTTCCGTTGCTTTGCGGCGGGCAATGGCCTCCTGTTCCGTCTCGTGGACGAACGCCACCACACGTGGGCGTACTACAACGACACGGCAAGCTACACCATGCACATCACCGTCACGTTTGGGCGGGAGAGCAGCGTCGAGCCGCTTGGCGTGGCGCGGCGCACCGTGACGGATGCGGCATCGGGGCGACGCCGCATAGACCTCCTCCTCCCGCCCGGGCGGACTGAGCTGTTCATGCGTGGCGAGTACAACGGCTTTTCTAGCCACTACGAAGTCGTTCCCCGGCACATGGCGCTGACACTGGAGAGAAACCTTAACGGCGGATGGGAAGAAACGGGCGGGAAAACAATGTAAGTGCAGGGTTGTAAAGGAAGGAGGTATTGACAACGCGATAACAGTGCATGAACCTCCATTGCGTGGTATTTTTTTTTGTCTTGTGGGGCTCTCTGCAAGTGTCTATTTGTGTGGGTCTTCATTTGTGCCTGTAATTGTGTCCCCCTTCTCAGACTGATTGTATACATGCGGACGGCAGGAAAATGCCCTGATGGCGGTGGTGGCGGCGATAGTGTGAATTTTTCCCTTTCTGTTGCTGGCGTTTGCGTCTGGGCGGGAAAAGAGTGAAGGAAAGAAGCGAATAAAAGAGAGTCGTGTGTGCGTCCGTGCGCTGCGGCAAAGAAGGAGGTGGGGGTGGCACTCGCCCCGCTTCCGGACATGATGGGCAGACCGGATGCATTGAGTGAGTGAGTGCATGCGTGCACTTTTCCTTGTTTTTGTTTTTCTTTTACAGGGAACAGTGAACGTGATGTATTATATATATATATATATATATCTTTCTATCTATGTGTCTTTCTTCAGTTATTTCTACACGCTCTTTTGGTTTCTTCTTCGGTGTCTTTCGCTGTTGCGGAGTACTTCTGCCACCGCCCCTCGACATCGCTACCGCCTTTTTTTTTTCTTCTTTTTTTCTTTTGCTTGTTTGTTCGTTCCTTGTGCATCGCAGACTGTCTCTTTTTCCCACTTAATTTGCGTGTGCGTGGGTGTAACTGCGTGCTGATGGTTGTCGTCGCCGCCCTTCCCCTCGCGACGACCGCCCCGCATGCGTGCCTGCGCGCTTGCTGCCCACGCACGCACTGGCTTTCTCGCACGCACTCTCTCTCTCTCTCTCTATTTGCGGGCACGCGAGAAATCACAGAGAGCGCAGGCGGAAGAAGGGGGGTGCAGCAACGCCGAGAGAAGGAACTGACGAACGGGGAGAAGGCACAAAGCAAAGCAAAACTGAAATAAGCGTACGAGACTCGTTCCGTAGACGCGCGGCGACTGAGGCCAGGGCAAGTTAGCACCAGCAAGGCAGTAAAGGACAAGCGAAACCAGGATAGCGACAGCGATCGGGGGAGAAATGGGGTGTTTCTCTAGCAAGCCTAAGGAGACGGCTGAAGGCTTCCTCAACGGCCAGCCCAGTGAGGCGTTTCCCTACGACGATATACGCAAGTGCACGGAGCGGGACAACGGCCTGCTCTTCCGCCTTGTGAACAACAGTAAAAAGCAGTGGGCCTTCTACAACGACTCCAAGATCTACGAGTTCCACGTCACCGTGAATTTTTCAAGCCAAAGCAACGTGGAGCCGCTCGGCGACACCACCGTTGTGCGGGACCCCAACGACGGACGTCTTGTGGCCAAGGCAATTGTGTACCCCGGCCTCACGGAGCCCTTCGTGCAGGGCGACGTGGACGGCTTTGACGCGGAGTACCAGGCGGTGGTGCTCACCGAGGAGTACAAGAAGAAGAAGGCGCAGCTGAAGGCCAAGAAGCACGCCGCGGAGGCCAACGACGACCTCGAGGAGGTGCACTAGCGCCCTCAGGCAAATACGGACGGACGGACGGACGGACGGACGGGGTGTGCCGTGTGGCGTGAGAGGCAACGACGGGCGGGGGAAGATGTAAAACGCGCGAGGAAATATGGGCACAGGGAAAAGGTGCACTTCCCCCACCATCGGGAAGCGGTGGGAAAACGAACTAAAACGAAATCATCAAAATGACCAACCGAGAGTGAGAGAGAAAGCAAAAAAAAAAAAACGGGGGAAAAACAAAAAAAACAAGAAACAAAAAACAAAAAAATAGAAAGGGGTGGAGGTGCGAGAGGATAGGGGAGCCGGTAGCAGCGGGAATAATGTCCAGCAACCACACTGAGACTGCGATGCCTGCGCAGAAAAAACAAGCTAGCTTGGCGATGCGCGTTTGCGCGCCGATTTCTCTCTGTTTCTTCCTTATTGTCTTCGGCCTGGGGTTTTGAAGGGAAGAGGCAGTGACAGAAAAGAAGAAGTGGGGGGCTGGCTTGCGTTCTGGGGAGGCTGTGTGTTCCGTCGACGTGTGTCGCTGGGCGATAGGGAGGGGAATGAATGCAGGAGTTCCAGCAGTGAGATTTGCTTGTTGATTGCTTTCCCCTGTTTCATTTTTTCATTTTTTTTCTTTTGTTATTACATGAGTGGTTAACTTAGTGTTTTTTTTGTTTTAATCCTCCTCCTTCACCGGGTTTCATTCGGGTTCTCGTTACTACTTGGCGTTCGACAAGCCAGTGGGGAGACACGCCATGCGCATAGCTGCGGCTTAGTGGGTGCGGGCGGCACTTGTACTTCACCTCCCAGGCGTCTGAATACGTGGCAGTGAACCGCTTCCTTTTTATTTTTATCCAAACCTCCCACCATGGCCGGGAGTTGAACGGCAGCACGAGCGCAGTTGTTTTTGTCCTCGCCTGCACCCCCAGCGCTGGGCCGTTGCGGGGTGCGAGGCACGCCTCAGACAAACGCTTTGTGGCTTCCTAACAAGAGCCCAGTGGTCACAAACACAAAAAAGAGACCAGAAAAAAACAAAACAAAACAAGACGATTTGAACTTTTTTGAACGCTCGTTTGCGTATGGTGTGGGGTCAATCTTCTTATTTCTGTGGGGGGTGGGGAGGAATTCAGGGCGCACCCGGAACTAAACTGTAATCTTCCTTCCCACCTATTCCCTACGGATACGTGAGAAACAAACATCTTCTCAGCAAATATAAATATATATATCGCAGCTGCCGGTGCCCTGTTTTGCGTTTTTTTTCTCTCCATTTGTACGTGTCGGTGCCTCTGCCGCTGCTGCGGCGATTTGCCCTCCTCCGAGCGGAGGGCGTACGTGCGGGCAGAGGAGGGTTTACTCGTGTGCCTCTCCCTCTGCGTGTCTGTCTGGCCGCATGTGTGTGCGCGTGTGTCTTGCCCTCGTTTCTCCTCTCCCTGTCCCTGATTGCGCGGCGCCCGCACACCCATCCACACGGAAGAAGGGAAAGTAAGAAGGACGGCGCACGCGGCGGCGGAGGCAGCGGTAGGGTAATACGGACGAAGTGCGGCGACGGTTCATTATCGATACGCCCCAGAGGAACAATGGCGGCTGCCGTGGCGACGGACGCCCCGGCCCGTGAGCTGCAGGCGCAGATTGACGTGCTGCAGGCGGAGATGCACACGCGTGTGCGAAGCTTGTGGTGGCGGGCAACCGTAAGGAGGAACCCCCACTACACGACCCGCGACGAGCTG